TAATGTGATCACCATTAGTACCTTACATCTGATTTTCGGTCATTGTTGACAATTTTCTTATTCCTGGTCATTTATTTGTTTTAAAACCTGTCTAATTATTGGGTGTATCTTACTATTTGGCGCTTGCTTTTTTTATCTAGATTCATTTTATAATATAATGATGTTGTAATTTACGTCAACATCTGCCCAGCCAAGTAGTCCTAATTACGTTTACTTGTTGAACGCGGCCTTCTAAGTAAACATCAAAGTTTCTTCGGGATTCTTTATGTGACAGTTTTAATTAATATTATAATTATTAGAAGTTTACAAATAGTGCAGGAATTAATAAACATAAGGGAACTGGACATTACCAAATTCCATCGGAGTGTTGTATTAAATAGCTGATAAATCAGTCGATCGAAATAAAACCTCTATTTTTATACAGTCAGAAAAACAAAAACACGTTTTCTACAACAAATAAGAGCTTATATCTTCTGCACTGCTTAACACGTGTTCAACTATGGCTTTCTTTCAGTGTTAAGTTACGAAAGGTTAGGCCCATAAAATAATTTTGATATATTTGTAATGTGTTTCCAACCTTTGTCAATCCGCTTTAATAGTTACCATTCCCATGTGTGGCTTCACTGCTTTCGGAGTTAAACAAAACAAGTAAGGAATCTGAATTTTCTTGTTGCTATGTGCTTGAAAATGTTTTTGTTGTTTTTGAGCAGGCAGCTAAACGGGTTTGAGTTTGTTGTAGTGAGGAAACCCCAGTATTATAAACTTTTTTGTAATTATGAAACTAGACTTGAAAGCTTGTCGTAATCAGGTAACTATATGGTTAAAGGTTTGTTGTAATTACGAAACTACGGAAATGTAAACGTTTTTGTAAGTACGAAACTACAGAATTGCAAACAATTTTGTAAGTACGAAACTACGGAATTGTAAACGTTTTTGTAAGTACGAAACTACGGAATTGTAAACGTTTTTGTAAGTACGAAACTACGGAATTGTAAACGTTTTTGTAAGTACGAAACTATGGAAGTGTAAACGTTTTTGTAAGTACGAAACTACGGAAATGTAAACGAATTTTGTAAGTACGAAACTACGGAATTAGTAAACGTTTTTGTAAGTACGAAACTACGGAATTGTAAACGTTTTTGTAAGTACGAAACTACGGAATTGCAAACAATTTTGTAAGTACGAAACTACGGAATTGCAAACAATTTTGTAAGTACGAAACTACGGAATTGTAAACGTTTTTGTAAGTACGAAACTACGTAATTGTAAACGTTTTTGTAAGTATGAAACTACGGAATTGTAAACGTTTTTGTAAGTATGAAACTACGGAATTGTAAACGTTTTTGTAAGTACGAAACTGTGGACCAGAAACTTGTTGTGACCAGGTAACTACGGGATTCAGAGACTGTTATAATTTCGAAACTGAGGACTTGAAAACTTTCAAAAACAACTCTTCTTTATTTGGAAATGAGCGAATCTTTAAAAGCTTATTACTTGTGGTCCTTTAACAATAAATAATGGTTATTGAAGACTAAATTCACGTAAATATATATATATAGTGTTACGACAGCGGAAGTCACGTGACGCTGGTAACATGTGGTGAGTTTCTAGAAGGATCGTGAGTTGTCCTGGCAACTCTAGTCTTTTCCAGACGCCCTCTATTTTAGTATAAAAGCCGGAGATAGATTGAAGAGACACATAATTGAGTCAATCGAGCAGTAGGCACCGCAAGCAAAGTGTGTGAATCGCTATGAATTATAGCGCGTGTTTATAAAACTAGCTAAGTTTAAAGTGACTGTGGCAATAAGTGTATTACAAAGTTTGTATCGAGAAAGAATAAACTAGTTTGCATTAAGAAAAGACTTGTATCGCTGAAGTTTCTCGGAAAGAATGTTTACGGGAAATCATCAAACAAGCAGATACGTAACAATAGATATAAATCGATTCTAGTAGTGTTTAAATACCGAGTCAAAAATAAAGAAATGTTTTTTTTCTACTGCCAAGGTAATATCGGAGAAATAAAAACCTCTCTTAAACGTGCATAAAAATGTTGTATATATAAATGGAGACAAACAAAATCATACATTTCTGTCAATCTACTTCACAATCTCTCTTTCTCTATTTAACCTTATTAAATTGTTCTGTTCTGAAGACACGTGTTTCTGAAAATAGCCGAGCTCATATCTTGCAAAAACTGGGAGAAAAAAAAAAAGGCACGACCTTGTTCTCTACCAGCCAAGAGCACACACACACACTCGAACTACAGTATGTATTCACTGGTATTGATTAGTCTACCTGCCACGCGCGTTCCAAGACCTTTTGCATGTCTGTAATCCACACATCGACGATGGCTTGCAAATCCTTTCTTGCCGTTTCGGTACATGCTTTGTTTTACTAATATTATTTTCGATTTTGTTGTTGTTGTTGTTGTTGCAAAAAACGAAAACCTTATAGAAACGTTATGGGAAAAAAAAATACTGTTAGAGAGAAAATACGTCTGTTTGTTTTTCAGCACGAAGCTACACAATGGGCCGTCTGTGCTGTATAGAAACCCGGTTTTTAAAAAGTGTGATAAGCCTTCAGAATTGCTGTTGAGCTACTGGGAGCCTAGAGGGAAATAAGAGCAACGGATATTAAGAGAAATAAATGAATTAATTCTTCTACTCCAACGGCATCGTTCAAAAGAACAGTTAAAGTGTTCTCCACGTTAAAAACAAAATGGAATGAAAAGTACTACATTTTAATTTGAAAGTGACTGATACGAACAGTCTGATTAGATTTTATCTTGGTTGAAGGGAAAGGGAACGTAACATTTTGGAAAAAAAAGGGGGTATCGATAGTCTTAATGGATGCGAAAAAAAAACTTGAACAGGAGAATATTTAGGAACAGTGAATTTTGTGGAGTTACCACCAGGTTTCCAGGGTGTAAAACTGGGATTTTTTTTTTTCATACAGAGTGAAAATGTACCAGCCATGAAACAGTGCAAGTTACACTAACACACTTTTTACATATGCTAAGTAATCTGATGTTTATTTTATCGTGTTTTAAATCCGTAGGCACAGTTTGTTGAAAACTTATATAAATAAAGAAATAGTAAACAAAATAGAAAACTCACCTAAGTTTCCTTTTTTCGCGGCCGAGAAGGTCTTCGAGTCACCATTCCTGCAACTTCTCAATGATAGATTAGATTAAGAAAACGTAGCACAGAGGGAGGGAACACTGTACCGTGTTGTTTTTTTTTTCTTTTGTCAGGTGATTCTCCAAATATAGTCGAAAGTGCTGTGTTTAATAACAAATCGTATATATATATATATATATCAAATTCACATTGAGGCTCAGAAAAACTAGGACTATTTGATAAATTTACTGTTTCTGATCGGAACCAAAAAAGATAAGGCTAAGATCTGGAACGGCGCCAGTTTTACTTGGAGAGACCTCCCATTTCCAAAAAAAAAGACACCATGATGAAGATGCGCACGCCCCCTGGTACCACTAACAAGATAATAAATAATGATTAGAAACCGACGAAAGCCCATAAGTTCACGAGATTTCTGTCAAATTTCAAAACCGATAGCAGTTTGTGTGAGAGAGATGGTCGAAAAAAAGTGGAATCAGATATTAACATTAACTACATATTTGTCGAGTCTCGTGATGGTCTGTTATGCGTTTTGGTCTGCTTACACGTGGACGTAGAAGTCGGCGTCCACTTACAGCGGAGGATCTGTAGAAAGCTTGTCCAGGTACTAATAATGGCTGGAGACGGCTTAAATCGAATTTGTCCAGGTACGTGGTTCAAGACTGACCTGATCGCCTTTCATAGAAGCTTGTTATAATGGAAGTTACTATGTCGGGCAACGGACGAAGTAGTTTCAAAGGCAAGCACGTGATCTTATAAAGTGCAGTTAACGCTCAGTAAAGAAACTGCTAAACAAATACACACAAAGATTGTCCAATCAGGAAGCGACGATACTGAACAAAATAGACCTTTGGAGACTATGGGTAAAATGTATGGTGTGTGTAGGTGTGACGTCACTTGGAGACTATGGGTAAAATGTGTGCCGTGTGTAGGAGTGGCACAGCGGTATGTCTGCGGACATACAACGCTAGAAACCGGGTTTCCTTCGATACCCGTGGTGGGCTGAGTACAGATAGCCCATTGTGTAGCTTTTTACATAACTACAAACAAACAAACCTACACACGGCACACATTTTACCCATAGTCTCCAAGTGACGTCACACCTACACACACCATACATTTTACCCATAGTCTCCAAGTGACGTCACAGGGGGGGCCCGTGTGTAGGTAAGATGGAGCTTTGGAAACTATGAGTAAAATGTGTGTGTCGTGTGTAGGTAGGACGGAACTTTGAAAACCTTTTGAGTTCATTATTACACTTTATGTTGTCTTTTCTATTTATATTAAATAATATAAAATATGTAATAATAATAAAAAACATGAATATGTAAAGCTAGAAACTTTAATTTCAGACTTTTCGACGTCGGGGGTCAAAGATCGGAACGTAAGAAATGGATTCATTGCTTTGAGGATGTGACTGCTATTATCTTCTGTGTGGCAATGAGTGAATATGATCAAGTGTTGCACGAGGACGAGACTACCGTAAGTTTAAAAAGTTTTCTATTTGATATATAAATAAGTTAATTTTGAAGTGTTTCTAGGATCCCTAAATGTGACCTGTATTTTACTTCACAAAACTGAATTATTTCTGCCTGAAAATATCGAGACTTTCATTTACTTTTTTGTTATTGATAAAAAAAATAAATCACGATTCTCGGTTTCTGGTTTAAATTACGAAACATAAGACCATAAACATTGATCATTACGTTTATTATGACAGTTGTGAAAGGGTAGTAGTTTACTGAAAACCCTGATATACTCATTAGACTCGAAACCTGGGATGGCGATTTAAGTAATAAATAGCAGAGATCAGAGATACATTTGCAGTCAAATTAATATCTTTATTGCAAAAGTATTTCTTTAAATACATTATTTCTAGAATAATACAAAAGAATCCCAGTCGTAGACACCAAAATCTACAAATTATCTTAATTTAGGCCTAACATTAGTTAAGCCTTTATTAAGTTCGGCCTATATTCGATAAACTAACACTGTAACTTGCGTACGTTTTTTGCTTTAGTTTAGTTAGGGTTAAAACTTTACGTACTTAATACTATCAGTTAATAAGTTTATAATGTTATTCTACGTCCTAACATTAGACCTTTTTGAAAACTTTGATAAGCTTTTAATATGTTGTACAAAATGTTACTAAAGTATGTTTACCTCCGCCTTTTGTTTACTGATGAAACGAAGTGTGTGCGCGCATTTTCAAGACAGACAAAAACTAAGTATTATTATTAACAGATATTCGTATTTCTTTAGATTCGAAACTGTGGTGAACGAATTGAACAATAATATTCGTATTTTGTTAGATTTGGAACTGTGGATTAAGAATTAAACGATCATATTCGTATCTCGTTAGACTTGATACTGTGGGTAACAAGTTCGTAACTGTTTTTCACATAATTTTCTTAATTTCTTGCAGAATCGAATGCAGGAAAGTCTAAAGCTGTTTGACTCCATATGTAACAACAAGTGGTTTACAGACACAGCCATTATTCTCTTTCTCAACAAAAAAGACCTTTTCGAGGAAAAGATCAAGAAATCTTCTTTAACAGTTTGTTTTCCCGAATACACAGGTAAATATTATTGGCCTCAATATGCACAGTGTCCCGTGGCTCATTTATCGGTTTTTCTTATTGCTCCAGCGTATAGAATGATTCATTAATAGTTCTGTAATGGCACAAGAATCATGAAAGAAAGTGTGTTACTTTGTTTTGCACATAGCTACACAGTGGGCTATCTGCTCTGTGTCCTAACACAGGGATTGAGCCAGGAATTTTGTTATTAGCCTACAGGATTATCACTGAGCTATAGGGTGGTGAAATAAAGTTTAAAATGGCAGATTAAAATGTTTGAGAAATTTTGATTATATTTTCGAAAGGAGCAAAAATAAAGTTAGTGAGTCACATTTATAAAATTGCAACAAATCTTACACTGGAAGACTCGATGTTATAGAACTGACAAAAGATGGCACTTTAAAAACTTTTTTTTTGTGTGAAGTTTTGTAATTTAGTGTAAAATTTGTTTTTAATTAAGCACAAAGCTACACAATGGGCTATTTGTGCTCTGACCACCACGGGTATCGAAACCAGGGTTCTAGTGTTGTAATTCAGCAGACATGCCGCTGTGCCAGTGGGGAGCGTTTTAGTATACAGAAAGCAATACACTTGATTCTAAATTTCAATAAAAGAGTGGTCGTACAAGTGGTATCGTTAAGTTGTGAACTTAACCTATTAAACAAGAGTCTATTTTATGCGTAGATCTTTACCATCATTATTACTCTTTGAAAGAATTTTAAACACCGTCCGATTTATCTCGACGTCATATTTACGAGAACTCGAAAAAATTTATGCTAGATTTTTGCACAGTCGCCAGATTTGCATATTCCCTCATACCTGTCTTAAGCCATCTGGCGGTAGATCCAATATACCAATAATTGCATATATGACGTTCAAATTTATAAATAACATTAGATGTTATCAGTGGCGATATTCTATCTTTAAACCAAAGAAATTTATTAATCTACTTTTGGGATAAAAAATAAATAATCTATCCGTGGATAAGTTCTACGTGCATCTTATAGTTCAAGACAAAAACAAAACAGGATCTTTGATTTTGTGATATTTTTGTTGTACCAAAAGTACAACAAATGATTTGAGTATATTTTTTTAAATTTCAAACAGTGTCAAAGAAAGATGATTGAATAATGAATCTAATGTTCCAAATCTTTCCATGTTACAGTTATACAACATGGTTCACGTCCCGTTGCGCTCCGCATTTTAAGGCCGTGTATGCGTTATAGGAGTGACGATCATATTTCACTATTCGATTGGAGTAGCCCAAAAGTCCGTGTTGGGCGCTGTTTACTAGCTGCCTTCCTTCTCGTCTACCAGTTTAAAATTAAGGCCGGCTGTGGGCAAATAACCCTTGTGTAGTTCTGTGTAAATACTCGACAAAAAGTAAACCAAACAAAATAATATAATTACGATCACTATATACTTCCCTCTTTCTCTCTCTTTTTATCTTAAAGTTGATTGGTTACCAAGAGTGGTTGTAGAACTCTCTTGTATTGTTTAATCATAACAAAAATGAAAAAAAAAAAGATAATTTAACATTCTTATGTTGATAATGCTGAAAAGTAGTTACAGTAATATTATCCCCTTTTCAACAACTGGAAGTGTAATGATTTTTTGCTTGTTTTAGTTGCAAATCAACTAAAATACAACACGAAAAGGCTTCAGTGCTCATAACGATCGTTCATATTCATGTAAGACTGATCTTACACATTACGTTTCTCAAATGTACAACGTACCTACAGAGTAAGTAAGTAAGAATTGAAAACCCGCTTTAAATTAGAATTTCATTAACAGGTGCCCAAGAGTACGGCGAAGCAGCAGCCTACATCCAAGCTCAGTTCGAAGCCAAGAACAAATCAACCAACAAAGAAATCTATTGTCACATGACCTGCGCAACAGATACCACCAATATCCAGTTCGTGTTTGATGCGGTCACTGACGTCATAATCGCCAACAACCTGCGAGGATGTGGGCTCTACTAGATCATGAAGGAGGAGAAGGTGTAATGGAAAAGCATAGAAATGAAAAAAAAAAAAAATACCGAATGAAAAACAGACAGCCTGCTGCTGACGCATTACTGTCTGCTGAAGGCTGTCCGTTTTTAATTCTACGCAGTGAAGAAGTTTGTTCCGTTTTCCCGCCAAAAGTCGTCAACGCTATTCATGTTTTGAATGTTGTGTTGTCTTGTTCTAGTCATGCAGTACAGAGGAAACGTTATTATTATCATTCCACGCTATAAAGCACGTTAAGTCACATAAGCATGCGTATTATTTTTGCTGTCACATTGTCTTGTGCTGTTTTATTTATTTTTTATCGAGTTTAAAAATAGCATTTGGATGTGCGAGAAAGTAGACACGTGATTAACAGCTCGTGGCCATTTTGAAAAGAGTTCTTTCATGGATAAAGGAAACAAAAGGGTTCCACTTCAGACTTAGAGCCCCAAGTTTGATGTGTGCCTTTTTGTTAGTCAGGTATCTAATGTGTTACTTAATTGTTAAAAAAAAAAAACGTTACATAGCAAAGTGTTAAATGTTTTCTAATTGTTGTTGTTGTAAAGTGGCATTGTTGAGTTCCTCTCGATTGAAGTATATCTGTATAACGTTTTTGATAAATGGTTTATTTTGTTCAAAATCTCCTGGCATGGAGTTTAGGTACATGTCGAGCACTCTGAATGACAAGTTATAATTCTTAATAAACTTGTGTTTATTTACTTTAATAAAGCACTCATGTTCTGGTGCTCAGAAAACAGTATTAATTATGAAGATTAGGCTACCCTAAGCAGGATTGTCACACGCATAAAGACTATTTGTTCAAAAATTATGTGTGTCAGTGTAACCTTTAGGTACAGCAGAGTGCTAGAGATCTATTCTTCGAATAATGACTAAAACTCAAACATCAACAGGTTATAAATGGAACTTGAGGCAAGTCAAATTCCTACTCTGGCATTTTTCTCAGATCAGGCCCGTCTTGATGAGCGGAGATCTATGTCCCAAGATCCTTCAATGACCATGTTGTTACTGGTAACATACAGACTTTCATCACTCGACAAGTTACTTTTGGATGATAAGCACAATCCGTGAGGATGAATATCTCAAACACTGTCTTCAAGTGCACAGACATTGGAAAACGAGCACTCCCAAAAATGGCTTTGACGTAGCAGCAAAGTCCAAGTGCCGATTGTTCTGACAGTCTCGCCAATCCCAAAAGACCAAGTTGTGCACCGAGAAGTGAAATGTTTTATTGACTTTAACGAAAATCCCGACTTTGATCTAAGAGTGAAGGAAGGACAGAAATTGTTTCGTGTCAACGTTTCGATCCTCTGATTTTAAGGAAGCCAAATTACACTATACATATATAGACAGAAGACCAAAGACGAAACTCACGTTTCGAAAAGTCTTAAGCACATCCAGTGGGAAGCCCAAAATCGCAAAAAGAATGTTTTACCACAGATTACGTGTTGGCCATCAACTTTGGGCATATGATTATTGTACCCCAAGACAAGAAGGTTGTAGTAAACTTTGTTGTTTCTATTATAATCACGAATCACTTTTAGCTCTTTCCATTTAGAGCTTTTAATTTACATCTTGGTATTCTTTGTTATGGAAGTAAAAGTTGTAAGATGAGACGTTTGATGTTCTAACATTCTCTATTTGTCTGTGTATTTCAGCCCAAGACTTAATATGTGTTGTCAAATAAAAGTTTCTAAACATTGCATCATTTAAAGTCGAGTTATTTTACCATCATAACACATCTTTGCAGTAAAGTTTAAAGTATAACACATTTAATGTCTTTACCTTGATATTTTCAACCTGTACAGTACCTTATGCAAAACCTGAGCAAAGTGACCAGGTTAGAGATCCCCTAAGGTTCAGACGTATCTTTATATAATTTAGAACTGGTGACCAAGGGGGACCAGTCAGAAGTGCTTATTGCCAATAAAGGCACTCTTAATCAAATGGAGATTGATTGTTATAACTCCACAGCTGAAACTATGGGACACATTTAGTGATATACTGCTCCTCAAACTTTGGACTTTCTGATACTCAGCCCAAAATATTAATCATCGAACCCCCTGCTTCTGTCCAACCATAATTAAAACCACAATATAGGATTTCTACCTTCAGTAACTATTCTGGCTTTAAGCTTACTCTTAAGTTACCACCACATATAGGATATTTGTAATTCTCAATAGACCACAGTTTGCGAGTCTTCATTACAGTCAGTAAAATAACTACGTGATCTGTTAAAACTACAAAAATATTGTATGGTACTTTAAAAGTATTACTTTGGTTTCTAGCTTGTAGGTTATCGTAAGCAGCATTAAAAGTTTCATTAGGTTATTATACTCATGAATCAAATTGTTTGCTTAATCTTTTAGTGGTACAAATTATTAAACTCACTAGGAATACATGACTCTCTCAATCTTTGTTTGTGGGTTATTAAATTTATCAAGAATACATGACTCTCTCAATCTTTGTTTGTGGGTTATTAAACTCACCCGGAATACATGACTCTCTCAATCTTTGTTTGTGGGTTATTAAACTCACCAGGAATACACGACTCTCTCAATCTTTGTTTGTGGGTTATTAAATTTATCAAGAATACATGACTCTCTCAATCTTTGTTTGTGGGTTATTAAACTCACCCGGAATACATGACTCTCTCAATCTTTGTTTATGGGTTATTAAACTTATCAGAAATACATGACTCTCTCAGTCTTTGTTTGTGGGTTATTAAACTCACCAGGAATACACAATTCATTCAGTCTTTGTTTGTGTGTTATTAAGCTCACCAGGAATACAAGATTTACTCAATCTTTGTTTGTGAGTTATTAAACTCACCAGGAATACACAATTCACTCAGTCTTTGTTTGTGGGTTATTAAACTCACCAGTAACGCATGATCCTTTCGACCTATGTTCATTGCGAGGATAATTTTATTTTTATCTAAGTAGGTAGCTTGCTCTGAATATAAGTTAACATTAACTTGTTAAGTTATTAAATTCATAAGGAACGTGCGATTCTCTTAATCTATTTTAGTGCATACGTTACTAATTAGCAGCATGTGGTTCTTAAGTAGTATGTTAGACATTACACAAGTGTATCATAAAAAAAATGGAATTTCAAAAGAGTTACTTCAACAATAGGAGCTACAATAATGCTGGTGTGATTATTAAAACAGTAACAAAAGAAAAGATGAACTTCTGGATAACAAAGTAGTTTTAATAATCGAAACTCAGGTAGGCATCATTAATTAACGCTATTAATCGGGGTATCCAAGGGTTCTGGAAATAATTTGGAAAAATCATACTTGGAAAAATGTTTTATGCAGACTCGCACACGGTTTGTTGCACATTTAATGTCTTCTACAGCACAGATAAAAACTTTATCCCAGTCAGATAATACCCTTCTACACTGAATGTCAATATTCCCCAGTTGTTGGATTGGATGGGGAGGTCCCATCAGGTGGCCTCCTTGTTCACCAGATATTATGCCTACAGATTTTTTTTTCCATGGGGGCTTCATAAAGGACATGGTTTAAGGATGAACTGTACCAATGAATCTAAGAAATATTCCCGTAGTGTTGTAAAACACTCGGCAGGAGATTGGGTACAGACCGGACACTGTGCTCATGTTGAACTGTGTTGTATGTAGTAAAAAAAAACAAAAAAACATTATTTTTTGCATATGCAACAAACAGTGCGTATCTACAATAAATTGTTTCCTGGTACAATTTTTCAAATACCCTGTTTGTGAAAACTGAGAAAATCAAGCTAAGCATGACTTTATAATCACGCTAAAGTTCTAGGTACGTCTGCTTCCGTCAATAAACCTCTTCGTTAATAAAAAACTTCGAAACTACTAAAAGTTGTACATCAAATGTCAGTAAATCAGCTAAGAAATGACAATAAACATGACGTGTTTACATTTCTGATAAGGTTCTTCAAGGATCCCGTAAAGTTTGAAAATAACTTCTTATCCATTTTAAAGACAGATACATAAACTTTATATTGAAATGAAAAAAAAACAACAACAACAACACTTAAAGCAAGTTATTAATGTTCCAATGAGAGGCTAAATACGTTAATGCACAAACATTATTGGACAATCGCACTGGCGTATCAACTTTCGTCTGGTTCCAGATTAATGTTGTTTCCAAACTTAGCGTACAACTGGACTTTCAACTCCGACATTCCTTGCCGAACTAAGTCGCACTGCTGCTGTAAGGACTTCATTTCATCTCCGATTGTTTTTTTGTTCTTTTCTATCATTTCGGTTGCACTTTCTTGTCCCATGATAACGAATACCTCTCCTAACATGTAAGTGGGTTTGTTAAGTGGACAACATTAATTTCGTTATCATTTTTTAAGATTTGGGAATTTGACAACGTAAACAGATCTAAAATAAAAAGCCCAACCTATAGCCTCAGAAAAAGTCGTTTTTCTGTGGGGGGTTTTTTTTTTTTGCACAAAGTTTCTACCTCTAACTCTGGTTGGGAGCTTGCATTCTACGTGTTCAGATGTACAGTAAATCTGAAATATGTTTAAAATAATGAAAATAAAAATGGTACGACAATACTGCTTAACACTCATATTATTATTATCTTTTTTTATTTAAAAGTATTTCAGTTTTATTTCCATCTCTGATAGAGTGTGTTGCAAGCTCCGGAACAAAACTAGGGATCGAAACATTCTGGAATTACAGGTTTCTTTCAATATGAATTACATGCTCCATGTTACTGTTTCAATAAGTGGAATACTCCAACAACGACAAACAATTCATGATGAGCTTATTAAAACAAAAAAAAACAATTCTTTGCTATTGGTACGTATAAAAGTTTGTTTCAATCTTAGTGTCTTTGTAAATCACATTACATGCATATACAATCACAGACTGCAACAAGCGAAACATGAAGTAAAATAACAAACTAACAAGGTTGTTTGATTGTAACCATCAGTGAGATGTCCTTTTAACGTATATAAAAACTTACGTAGTAAATAAACTCAAGAACACATAACAAACTAACAAGGTTGTTGGATTGTAACCAAATAAATAAACTCAAGAACACATAACAAACTAATAAGTCACACAAAATGATGTAGTTAGAAGTGAAAAGAAGCCTCCTGAAGTGTAGAACAGAGCCAGTCACATAAAATGATGTAGTTAGAAGTGAAAAGAAGCCTCCTGAAGTGTAGAACAGAGCCAGTCACATAAAACGATATAGTTAGAAGTGAAAAGAAGCCTCCTGAAGTGTAGAACAGAGCCAGTCACATAAAACGATATAGTTAGAAGTAAAAGGAAGCCTCATGAA